TTTGAAGCTGATGCCATGTTGATGCCATGAGACTGCGAAGTGAGGCCACGATGATGCCACAAAATAGCGAGGCGAACACAGCTTCAATTTTCAATGACGCGAAGCTGATGCCACAATGATGCGATGTGAGGCGACAATGAAGCCATGCGTAGGCGACAATGATGCCACAAAAGCCAAAGCTTCCGCGAGAACTGTACTGTACATGTGCATCACCCGTCACTACATGTGCATCACCCGTCACTACATGTGCATCACCCGTCACAGCATGTGCATCACCTGCAACTACATGTGCATCACCCGTCACTACATGTGCATCACCCGCAACTGCATTTGCATCATCCGCAACTGCATTTGCATCATCCGCAACTGAATTTGCATCACCCGTCACTGCATGTGCATCACCCGTCACTGCATGTGCATCACCCGTCACTGCATGTGCATCACCCGTTACTACATGTACATAACCTGCCATTACATGTACATCACCTGCAACTACATGTGCATCACCCGTCACTGCATGTGCATCACCCGTCACTGCATGTACATCACCCGTCACTGCATGTGCATCACCCGTCACTGCATGTGCATCACCCGTCACTGCATGTGCATCACCCGTCACTGCATGTGCATCACCCGTTACTACATGTACATCCCCTGTCACAGCATGTGCATCACTTGCAACTACATGTACATCACCCGTCACTGCAAGTGCATCACCCGTCACTGCATGTGCATCACCCGTCACTGCATTTGCATCACCCATCACTACATGTGCATCACCCGTCACTACATTTGCATCACCCATCACTACATGTGCATCACCCGTCACTACATGTGCATCACCCGTCACTACATGTGCATCACCCGTCACTACATGTGCATCACCCGTCACTACATGTGCATCACCCGTCACTACATGTACATTGCCTGTCACAGCATGTGCATCACCTGCAACTACATGTGCATCACCCGCAACTACATGTGCATCACCCGCAACTACATGTGCATCACCCGTCACTACATGTGCATCACCCGTCACTACATGTGCATCACCCGTCACTACATGTGCATCACCCGTCACTACATGTGCATCACCCGTCACTGCATGTGCATCAGCCGTCACTGCATGTGCATCAGCCGTCACTGCATGTGCATCACCCGTCACTGCATGTGCATCACCCGTCACTACATGTGCATCACCCGTCACTGCATGTGCATCAGCCGTCACTACATGTGCATCACCCGTCACTACATGTGCATCACCCGTCACTACATGTGCATCACCCGTCACTGCATGTGCATCACCCGTCACTGCATGTGCATCAGCCGTCACTGCATGTGCATCACCCGTCACTGCATGTGCATCACCCGTCACTGCATAAACAAACTATAACTATAAAACTTGAACACAATTTTTATAGTCATTTGGTCAGATGTCATGTAATTAGAAAGATGATAAGTTTATCTGTATGTTTTAAGGAGGTTTGGGTCAAATTGAAGAATACATGTCATCTTCATATTTTCATTAATCTTCGACCTTCCTAATCTTTAACACAATAAACCTACCAATGTATAAGTGTTGATCAAAATCTGAATACAATAGGAATAATTGATATTTAATCCATTAAAAAAAATTTAATTTGTAAAATCTTAAATTAAAATTTGGTGGGAAATGATGGCATTCAAATATTAGTAGTTTAATTAATATGA